AACGCATCGTCGCCGCAACACCCAGCACCGATGCCGCAGGCTCCAAGAAGAACTGTACGTATCCAACCCCTTTCCCCTCGTCTACAACTTCAAAAGCAAACACTACAACTAATCCATGACCCAGCTGTCGACCTAGTAACCGAAACCGACTGCGCAGTCGAATCCCTCGTCTCCACCACGCTCCGTCAAAAATACCCCTCTTACTCCTTCATGGGCGAGGAAACCTACAAGCCAGGCGACAAGCTCACCGCCGCTCCAACATTCATATGCGACCCCATTGACGGGACTACAAACTTTGTCCACCGGTACCCCTACGTTTCCATCTCGCTGGGCTTTGCCGTGGATCTGGAGCCAGTAGTCGGAGTAGTGTACAACCCGTTTACGCAGACTTTGTACTCGGCGATCAAAGGCCAGGGCGCATATCTCAATCAGACGACGCGGTTACCGCTGAGCGCGCCGACGCCGTTGGATTCGCTGAATAGCTGTCTGGTGGCTGTGGAGTGGGGCAGCGATAGGAGTGGGAATGATTTTAGGGTCAAGAGTGAGACGTTTAAGAGGCTGGCGGCGACAAAGGAGGAGGGTGGGGGCATGGTGCATGGGCTGAGGAGTTTTGGAAGCGCGGCGTTGAATCTTTGCGGGGTGGCTAGTGGCGGGCTTGACATGTGAGGACTCTCTCTCTTTGCTTCAAAGTCCACAGTTGAAATTGTGTTGTGCTGACTTTGCTGGTTCAGTTACTGGGAAGCTGGGTGTTGGGCCTGGGACGTGTGTGCGGGTTGGGTGATATTGAAGGAGGCAGGAGGCATGATGGTGGATGCGAACCCAGGGAATTGGGAGCCCAGGATCGACGAGAGGAGATATATGGCTGTCCGTGGAGGCCAAGGCCAAAAAGAAGTCATCAAGGAGTTCTGGAGTCTAGTCGACGGCGCATTCGAAGTAGGCATATAGCCGCAAGACTGACCGATAGGTTGTAGTAATACTACCAGTAGTAGTAATCCTGTAAACGGGCCGCAACAACTCAAACTTCACATCAACTCACACAGGCAAAGCAAGAACACAATAAGTATAGCGGCGACCGTTGTTTCCTCATTACATCGCCACTAAAACCATCCTCCACAACCCAACTTCTCCAAGCGGTCTCGGCCAATCTTGTTCTGCAGCGGAGCAAACGTCTCCACCAGAGACCTGTCCGCCAGCAACGGTCCCGGACGGACCAGCGCAGAACCACGCTTTGATTCCAGAAATGAATGTTCCTTAATCCTACAAACACACCCTTAATTTTCCACAACAACAACAAGCAGGCAGATTTCTCGGTTCCAATAAACTTCCCCAACGCACAGCCAGAACAAAGAAAACGCAGTTTCTCAAGGTCGTCTTGTACTCTCTCCGCAAGCAGAGAGGGGGCGGTTAGGAGAAAGAAAAAAGGGCAAATACATTGTTGTTGTTGTTGTTGTTGTTGTACGAGTTGAGAATGGAAGATTTGGGGCGGTAGGAAGGGGATTAGGGTTACATGAGTAGGGGGTGAGCAAACACAGCACGGGGTAAAAAGGTAAGAGAGGAGTAAGAGTTTGACGATAAGGATAGCCACCGTGATTCAAAATGCGCCGTGGAAAGCAAATGGAAGAGAGTCAATCCCAACCATGTCGTTTTTCTGGGGTTTTATCTTCTTTTCGACGAGCGGGGTGGGCGCAAAAGGGGAGATTCGCTGTGGGGTTGGCAATTTGAGTGACAAGTGTCGGAGTCGTGATTTGGTCAAGTTGAGTGTGCTCCGAGATCTGTGTGCTTGTGCGTGTGTGTACGTGTTTGCTTTGATCTTTGACGGGATCAATGGGGCTGTGCAATCAGAATCAGATGGTCCTTGGAGTTCCGCGAGCATTGCTGGAGAGGAGAGTCAGTTCTCAGTCTGCGGACATCACATGTGGATTTGGATATGAAGACGCAAGAAAAGACACAAGGCTCACCTCACGTCCACGAGATCATCAACATGATTACACATAGCCACGAACAGGTCAAAGAACAATTTACCCCCCATCTCCATTTCCATCTGCATGGTGCCACTACGCTTGAAGGTCTTCCTGCTTCGGATGATTAGAGCGAGGTAGTGTGCCCGCAAGTGGCTGTCGCTGTCTGATGTATTGTCATATGCATAGCGCGCTGAACGCAGGATCGTCCCGACCTCGATTCCACTCTGCAAGCCTTGCTTGCGCAAAGACAGCTTCTTGAGTTCGTCGAGGCCGTAACGATCGGCGGCGCAGTAGACGGCTGTGTCTCTCAGGAGCACATCACCTACACCAGAGTGATAAAAGGTCGGTTCCACAGCGGTGGGACGGTCGCCGTGTTTGTTTGGGTCGGGAGAGCTCATGGCACCTTCGAGCATCCAGGTTTGCCTACGCTTGTCTTGCACCAAGCGAGGATAGTAGTCACCTTTGTACAGATACTCGAGGATGCACGAGAAGATCTCGGGTTCTTCCATGGGCAGATCGATGCGGCGAGTGGTGGATTCGAAGAATTGGTCCCGCAGAATCTCTGCAAAGAAGGGGGAGTGAGACAAGACATCTTCGTGCGCGGCAAAGGTTCGTTGGTCTGCACCAACGATTACAGTCACAATAGCAGAGGTCAAACTCGGAGAATCTCTCTCTGCCATTGGGTTAGCCTTGCGCGCTTCCACCCTCTCGACCAACACCTTCTGCTTCGTCGCTTCGCGAAACGATCTCTTCGGTGCTTTGGTTATCTTGCCCGAACGGTCTTTCGAGCTAGCAAAAGAGCGTTTGCCGAACATGTTGGCGAAGAACAGAATCGTAGCGAGCGACGGAAGGGTAAAGAGTGGACAGGTTAGTTGACGCAGGTCATGAGAAAGGAGCTCTGGAAACTCTCAGACTTTGTACTCTTCCTCGGGAGAAAAGAACGAGGTCCAAGGAGCTTAGTGTGTTAACCGACACTGGTGGTGAAGGATAGCACACTTTGGTTGTCGAACTCAGGCTTGTCGTGAGGCGTGAGAGCTGAAAGTGTGGGGATGGCGGCCTGTTAAATACTGGCGTTGCCAAGCTGATGCCCCTGCAGCCTGCTGTGGTAGCGCCGGGCTGTGTAGCTTGAACAAGCACATTATTCGCCAATACATGGCCTGGCCTCTTATGACTGGGCTCAGGCAGCGAGGCAATCATGGTCCTCTGGTCTTATTTGGCGCACTGTTACGTTGGTGGAAGGCCATGGAACAAGCTTTCAGGCATCTGGCTGTAACTTACCGTACCGGTAGGTAACTTATGGCAGTACTGGTTAAGCGACACCCGACCAGGAGGTCTTTCAAGTATCGTGACGTCTCTCTGCTATCAGATGAGGAGAATAACGAGACTATGGATCCGCAAATCAATGACGAACAAAAGACGAAGGATTGTATGCAGAAATCAGCAAGTGCTCAGGTATGTACAACGGACGGAGAACGCGTCTACAGAAAGCGCGGCACGGCACGGTCCTATCACGATGTAACGTGACATGTGCTCGGCCTCTTTAATTCTGTGACTCACAACCGAAGCCAGGACTACTCTACTCTACTAGAGAGCCTCAAGTTCCACACAATCGGGATATTGGTAGGGTTGTCTAGCATATACGATAGTTTGGTTTCATAATAATGGACCTTCCATGGTTGAGCTATACCTGTCAATGACAACCACATCGTGCTCAGTTGCAATCTTGGCGAACAAAGCGTAGTCAGTGTGAAAAAGCTGATATACAGCCCTACCTAAGACGTTCTACTAGAGTACATGCCAGGCTGATTTTATTCGAGGTCAAGAGTACTGAGTTGATCGCCATAGGGCTGCTACCAGGCTCCAAGCCCCGACACGATCAACAATGCCATCTACACAAACCAATCCCATTCTTGTTCCCAAATCCTCCCTGTGTCCTCTTGGCTCAAATGTCCACCACGCAGCGCATGTCTTGTCTTCTTGAACCCTGTCTCATCTTGTAGTATCGGCCATTCGACAGCACTGGTACTCGCGCTATTACATACGCACATGTATCGTTGACAAGTTTGGCGTTCCTCTTCATCCCAAGGAGATCGTATGAACTCGATACACGATTCTGCAGGAGAGGGCACGCATGGCCCAGCCAATGAGTTACCGCTGTCGGACTCCGACATACCGTCTTCTGGACTGGGCGTTGGTGTTGGTCGGCGTGAAATAGCGTAACTAGCAGGCGATACAAGATACATCCCCCCATCACCCTCAAGCGATTCGCACAAGGAAAGGGACCGAGATCGCCGACCATGGCCATGGGAACTATGAGGAAGAATAATCCAATCCTCTGATAAGATAGTTGATGTTTCGCATAAAGGAGGGAGTGCTTGCAGAGATGACGCAAGAGACGCGCAATCCAAAGGCGCTCCACTGCTAGAGGCAACGATGGTGTCACCCGCGACATCCACCTTTGCAAAAGGTGTTGGTAGTTCCTCGACAGCGGCACATTCATTATTTTTTGAAGCTATAGAATCTGCACGTGTCCTACACCAGCACGGGTTGGCATGCCCTAAGTCCAGAAAGTTCCTGGTATCATGCTGCCTTTCTAATCTGGTAGGATGCAACGTGAGTTTCGATTTCAGCGGCATAGCGGGTGTTAGTGTAACTTTTGGGTCGAAAATTTCTTTTGGTATAGCTGGCCGTACTTGCAGTGAAACCATGTTGATGAAAGGACGGGAAGATCCTATAGGCGCTGTTATGAGAGCAGTGCATGTTCGTTTGCACCCGCTGGCTCCTGCGTCGGGTGTGGCACGATAGTCTGCAGCATCTAATTGTTTTGAAGACTTCTGAAGTGAATGCATTAAATCACGCTTTGCGAACGATGCCAGCTGCAAGTCCGAGTCATGGCTTGGGGAAGCCGGAGCCGACCACATGGGTGTCGAGAAAGGCAGTGCACAGCTTCTTGATGGGATCGTAGATGGAGATGCAGCTATGGCTTCTGATGAATTTGTCTTATCCGTACTTGGCGATGCGCTTGAGGATGGTGATTCGACAGTCGTAGAATTGAGGAATTTGGATGTAGAAGGACAGCGGCCGATTGAATCCGGACAGGCCAGAAAAGCGGAGAGGGGAAAGAATCGTGAGTCTTTGCGTTCTATCTTGAAGCGATCTGGGTGCGATAATGTGCGTGAGGTGCGTGCGAGGCATGTCTCAGATATTGAGCCTGGCTTTGGATCTACATGGACTGCTGGAAGCACAGAGATTGGGGACGATAGCAATGTGTTCGGACGACACTGCGGAGACCAGTGTTGCAGGATAGCCTCAGGGGCCTGAAGATTGTGACCAGGCAAGCTAGTCTGGTTGCTGTTGTGCCATTTCACAGATTCCATCGTCAAGGCACTTGCGCACTTCTCTTCAGCTGTAAGGCTGGGTAGCTTTGCGGGGAGCACAAGTTTGCTTCTATGGCGTCGACCGCCTCGTTTTCCTCGTCGTCTACATTTAATTGGAGCTGGCAGCCAGTCGAAATTCTACTTCGGTTCGGCAAGTGGTTGATCACGTCCCTGCAAGACGCTGAAGGGGTTTGCTGTACAGGTTGTGAGTGAATTGCAGAGGCCTGTACTTTGTTCAAGACATGACTTACGAGTAGGAAGAAAGCTGTTTTCTTGAGGACATGCTGGATTTGGATCCATCGATGGTCGCGAAGGTAGTAGATGTTGGGTACAGTGATGGGAACGGTTGGATTGCGGCAGTCCCGAGACCATTACGTATTTAGGTTGAGTGACAGTAGGTAGATGGAAACAAGACGTGGAAAAGGACAGGAAAGGTGTAGTAGGTAAGATACAGGATAGAAGGAAAAGAAGGGACGTAGGAATGTAGGCACTAGGGTATGTTGGTGACAGTCTGTTCTGGTAAAGGGTATAAAGTGTATAAAGTATGTAGAGTAGGTGGTACTGTAGTAGGTAGTAGGTAGTACATAGGGCTGACTAAGGTGCAAAATCGCCGTCATAGCTCAATATTAGTTGGTCCCCACATGGCCGCCCATCTGCACTCTTCACTTGACAGCGGGGTTCAACGCTTCTCCCAAGCCCGTCCTCCGTCCTCTCGCCGTCCCTCAGTGCGCTCCAGGCTAATTGGCAGTGATCCAAGACCAGCAATTACCTGGAGCCGCTGCCGCAGTCCACCATCCGCCACACGCCATACGCCATCCGCCATCCGCCATCCGCTTCACCCACCGCCAGCCCGCCACGCTCGCACGCCCAACGACCGCCATCGCCATGCCCGCCGCCATGCAGGCCCGTCGCCCGATGCCTCGCATTGTGCCTGCCATCCCGCATCGCCTGTCGCGCGCGCCGCCTGCTACAAGGCCCCTCACGCCCGAGGAGTCTAACAAGGGCGCTGTTGCTCAGCAAGAACCGCAGGCAGAGCCACCGACGGCCGAGGAAGAAGAGCAGCCGAACGCGCCTTCCGAGGACCATCGAGCGCCTGCTCACGATGCGCCATGGACGCCAGACTCCAAGGCATCGGGAACTGGCAAGCAGGCCCAGCCAAAGGCCCTCGCCCTGGCTTCTTCTCCGCCGGCCTCTCCCCCTGTTGGTGTGGTGGACGAAGTCGAGGCCGAGCACGCCCCAGGTATGTTCTCGTACCACAAGTTACGCCACGATGCTGGCCGAATCACTGTGCGCAAGCTCATACGCCAAACTGAAGAGACCCAAGTCAATGGCCAAGTCAAGACCAATGGACACACCGATGACTCTCCAGTCGCGCCCATGGACAACTCCCAGCCGCTCAGTGACCAGACTCGACGCAGATTAGCGGTGCCCGCCCAGCTCCCACCGCCTTTCTACCCTTCCAACAGGTCGGGCACACACACTCCGCCTGATAGCCGGGAGGCACAAATGCAGTTCCACCAGCATCAGCTCAGCGCCGGAGCTGTTGAGTTCCGCAGCGCCAACGACTCGCCCATTATGCCAGCATCTCCCAAGGGCCTGAAGCAGCCGATGGATCTACAGCACGCTGCATTTCCCCCACTAGCCCCCAGGTTTACTCCTCAGCCATATGCGCCTTTCTTCCCCGGACACTCTCACCATCCTTCCGAGGTTGGTGCGCCTTGGCTTCCGGCCCCCGCAGCGCCGCCGCGCCCTGTTTTCGAAAGCGGTGTAGAGTATGCGAGCCCTTACAACGGCCAATTCCCAGAAGACACTGCGTTCCGCATCAACGGAGTTGCCGCCTCGCATCCTCAGTCACCCGGCAAAACTCACTTCAACGATGTGAAGCCTGGGTCCGACCATGGAGAGGATCCTCATGCACTTGCATTTCAAAACGGCACTGCAGCACCAGTGTCTCCTCTTGAGGAATCAGCCTTCGAGCTTGCAGCTTACCTTTCCACTCAATTTGGAAATCCAGAATTTGCCGATTTCGTTCTGCAATTTCGGTCGCCAGATTCTGCTCTTGTCTCCGCACCTGTTCACGGTATTGTCGTTAGGCGAAGCCCAACCATCGCAGAAGCTATCCGCCACAGCCCAGCTCCCAGCCACCGTTCTCGCGACGCGCGGCGGTTGATTGATGTGCTGGTATCTGATCCCTTCGTCACGCGCGACTCGCTTGAAGAGGCTGTCAAGGTCTTGTACGGAGCGCCACTGATTACGGCACAAAATTTCTTGTTTGGCCTTGCTCCGTACATGTATGAGAGCGACCAAGCTGGCCCATCGAGTGATGCTCGACGACGTATCCAGGAGATTTTGAGCTACAAGGCTGCTGCCCGAACACTGCAGATGCCTAGCATGCAAGCTCGGGGTGTTGACATTGCACGTATGCTCCTGCGATGGGACACTGTTGACCTCGTACTACAATACGTTTTGCAAGCTGGGCCGAGTCCTCGGTCTCGGGTTGAAGGGCCCGATGCTGAAGACCCTTTCATCACCGCGCTGCTCAACTCTGCCATTGACTTCATGGCCTATACTTTCCCAGTCGACTTCCAATTGTATACCATTGCGCCAGAACTCCGCGATCTCCCACGCCTACCAGCTTTTATTGAGGCTCGGACGACTTCGCATAACCCGCGCTTAAGCAAGATTCGATTCGGAGATGCGCCTCCCGAGCATGATGTCCAACCGCGTCACGCCACAAGTGTGCTCTCGTCGGTCCTTCTTTCACTGCCCCTTCCTCTTGTAGATCGTCTACTGAATCATCGGGCGACGGCGAATCAGCTTGGCTGGACTGGCGTTGTTGCCCTCATGCGGGACGTTGTCAATGAGCGTGAGAGCCGGCGTCAAAAGGCTGTACAAAACCAGTCAAAGACGGCTGCTCATGGGCCAGTTCCCAAGGCTTTGTTGAAGAACATGTATATTGAGGAGCATGTGGAGCAGGTTGATCCGTCGCCTCTCCATCCTTCAGGCTACAAGTTGGTTGCAAAGCGTTTGCATAGTGAAGTCTGAGGGGCCGGTCTGGACAAGTGGAGTCTCAACTATTGCGAGCTCTGAGGTCTCCGCATCTACAGCCATATCCGGTCGATCTTGGTACGTATCTTCCACGAGGTGTTTACAAAAAAAAGGGTGGGATTATTCTAGGGTGTATAGCATAGCGGTTTGTCAAGGCGTTTGATGTGGCGTTGTTAGCGACATACTTCTCATCTGGTTCTTCCTACAGTCACTAAAAGTACGACACGAGAGACGACGATGCATATTCCCCCCCATAATAGGAACGAAGCACATAAAGAAGCCTTAGTTCGCTTTGTTATACCCTTGCGCTCTGCAAACCATCCTTTGTAGGCGTCTTGAGTAGTCTTCGGATTTGGGTGGGGCGCGGTGGCCCGTCTGGCGATTTCAAGGTTTCTGGCGCAGGGGTCTACATAGACGTCGAGAGACGGACAAAATAACATGCATGGTACCTACCCAGCCCAAGTGATGATGAGTCCTGGGAGCTGTAGTCGTGTTTGAGTGTGTGGTGTGTGGTGTGTGTGTGTGTGGTAAGTGGATCCTGGTCTGGCTGTCAAAAACTATCTAGTGTGTTGACTTACCGTATGGTAAAGCTTTTCGGAAACTTTCCAGTCAGGAAGGGGAAGCTTGTTCTACCCATCCCAAGATTTTGCGGCAAAAGCAACTACTCGGTCCCGCGGAGTCATCTAGGTCTTACTGTACCTACTACTAGAATGGCGCTCTGTCTGATATCACCTTTCCTGTCGAGATGATTGTCGAACACTGATTTATGTACAAGTCCGATATCCGCATCGGCCGAAGACTTGGTCGGAGATCAGAACGTGTGCCATTGAAGACAGACGAACGAACAAGCTTAGAAGGGCGCCGGGTATTAGGCGGAGATAAAAAGGTTGGTGACGTGCTCGTAGTACGCCCCGTCCGCTGTTTGTTCGGCTAAGGCAAGGAAAAGGAAAGTTTATTGCGGCAATCGCTTTTTCGCTATCAAGTCAAGACCGAGGCAGATCTCGTAAAGGTTGCCATAGGGCGTGCTGGGCTGGTCCTATCCTATGTACATCACTGTCCCGCCCTCTTTCCCCGTTTCCAAAGACCGTGTTTGCCCCTGGATTCCAACCTGGCTTCCTACTGAACTTGGCCTCTCCTTCTTAACCGACTTCTCTTCGCTCCTAAGCAATAACTAAGCAATCCTCGTGAAGGTGCCGCAGGGCGTGCTGGTACCACCGTTCCGCCCTTTTCCCTCCCGAAGGTAGGAGCGGTAAAGCTGAATCTGCTGCGCTTACACCTAGACTCCATCCCTGCTCCCTATTCTACTTTATTTTAATCTTTGCTTCTCGTCTGCTTTTTGTGTGTGTTCTCTTCAGGCAGTGTCCCAGGCTTTACCACAGGCAAAGCTTTGTTCTTTTGGCTATTCAGCTTCCAGCCGCTAAAAGAGGGTGCTATTCGACTCTTCATCATCCTCTCAGCACAACGCTTGCCATCCTAATATGAACCGTACTACAGCGCAGGCGCATGATATGCCTACAATATCAGATACGTCTTCACAAGTCTTTGACCAAAAGCCAAGCCAACGGCCATCACTGTCATCTACAGACTTGGTTCATGGCACACCGGCGCTTCAAGCCCACGAACAAAATCAACACGAGACCAAAGACCGCCCATTACGACAGGAAGAAGGCGTTGAACTCGAGCCTGTTCAATCAAGACATCCCAGCGTAAGAGATGCTTCGAAGATACCCGATGGAGGTCTATGGGCTTGGCTGCAAGTCTTGGGCGGCTTCTTCTTACTCTTCAATTCTTGGTACACTTGATATCCCCCCAAAGCCAAATCTCCCGTCTCACCACTAACAAGAAATCTCCCAGGGGCATTGTAAATACCTTTGGCTCCTACCAAGCCTACTATGAAACCGAGCTGCTCTCCTCGTGGAGCCCCTCCTCCATCTCCTGGATCGGCAGCATCCAAGCCTTCCTCCTCCTGTTCGTCGCCGCCCTCACAGGCCCCATCTATGACGCCGGCTACTTCCGCGCCCTCCTCCTCTTTGGCAGCTTCATGCTCGTCCTCGGCCAAATGATGCTCTCCCTCGCCCATGCGTACTGGCAAGTCCTCCTCGCCCAAGCCTTCTGCATCGGCATCGGAACCGGCGCGCTGTTCGTCCCCAGCATCGCCATCCTCTCCACCTACTTCTCCACACGCATCGGCATGGCCATTGGCATCTCCGCATCTGGCTCCTCCTTTGGCGGCGTCATTTACCCCATCATGTTCCACAAACTCCTCCCTAGGCTCGGCTTCGCATGGACAACGCGCATCCTCGGTTTCGTCATCCTCGCCACCATGCTCATCCCCAACCTCGTCATGCGCGTCCGCGTCCTGCCCCCGAAATCCCGCTCGCTCTTCGATCTCCCCGCCTTCTTGATACCCGCCTACTCCATTCAGGTCGCCGGCTTCTTCGCCGGCTTCATGGGCTTGTACATGCCCTTCTTTTACGCCCAGCTCTACGCCCTTCAACGACACGTCACCAATGAAAATCTGGCGTTTTACCTCCTCGCCGTTTTGAAAAGCACCGCCAACTAAATCGCGATCGTGCCCAACATCTTTAGCCGACATACTGGGACCTTTCAACGTTGTGATTCCCTGCTGTCTCGTCTCGGCCGTGTTGTGCATGTGTTTTATCGCCGTGGACAGTTCGGCCGGTATCATTGTGCTCATGGCTTTTTATGGCTTCTTCTCCGGTTCCTTTGTTAGTCTGCCGCCGACAGTCATTGTGCAATTGAGTGGGGATGCGAGGGAGAAGATTGGGACGAGGTTGGGGCAGAGCTTTGCGTTTGTCTCGATTGGCTTGCTGATTGGGACGCCGATTGGAGGGGCGATTTTGGATAACAAGGGGTTTGATGCGCTGTGGACGTTTGGGGGGTCTATGTTGTTTGCCAGTGCGGCATTCTTGATCATGGCGAGGGTTGCGTTCAAGGGATGGGGCTGGGTCAAGGCTTGACGCGTCTGATCTGGCACATATGTAGTAGATGCAGCTGCCAAAACAAAATTCATACTTGACAACCCTGAGCAATATCCGTCATGAAATGTTCACCACAGCTATAAAGACCAAACTACGCCTTCTCCTTGCCCTTTCCCCCTTCATCCACAAACGGCGCCTGGGGAACATCGATGCCTTCGATTTTCCACTTCATCCCTGGGTACGAGTCACTGTGCACCGTGATATCCACCTTCATCCCCTGCGCCTCAGGCGGCAATGAGACCTTCGCCGAAGTCCGCAGACTCGACTGCGTCCCCCCATCGCCCCTTTGGCTACGACCACCACCACCACCACCACCACCACCACGCAGACCGCCACCATTGCGACTCAGATCATTCCAGCCCACACGCTTGAGTGCAATGATTTCATCCGAGCTTGAATACGAGACGATAGCGAAGAAGCCTTCAGTCTGTGGCTTTGGGTAGCGAGGCGCAAAGATGCGCACACCGCCATTTTGCAATCTTGCGTAGTTTTGACGTGAAAGGTTGAGCATCATTGACATGGCGTTGATGCTCTCCAAGTCGAGCCTGACGACCGGCAGACGGGCTACTGGTTCGATGAAGCGCTGCATAGCCGCAACGGTGACGCCTGCAGACTTTGCCGCTGTCTGAAGCGTGGCTGGCTTTGCCGTTGTTGCCTCGATCAACGTTTTGGGACTGGCTCGGGGGTTTTCGAGACGCTTCTTCTCCTGTTCGACGTCTACGCCTGGGAAGATGGATAGCACGCCATCGGTGGGCCAGCGTGCAGATTTGATAGCTTGGAGAAGAGAGATCATGGCTTCACAAGAGGAAAAGTATCCCAGCTCAGTGAGGACGTCAATGGAAGCCTGTACAATACGAATGCTCTGGTCCAACACACTGTTGAGATCACCCACATAATCAGAGATTGGCAGATCGATGCGCGAAAAGTGTGCTTGTAGAAGCAGGAAAGCCTTTACATGAGGATCCCACATGGGCAGACCAAAGTCATCTGCTTGGATGGGGAGGGCCTTGGACAGCTCGACATTGATGAGATCTTCGTTGTGGCGAACTGGCAACTCATCGTACTCGGTCGCATGCGAGATCCAGGCGAGAACATCCGCAAAGGTTGCATTGCGCTTGACGTTCTTGACAAGATATCGGATGGTTTTGTGACTGAGGTAATAGTAGCTCATGATCTTGCCCAAAGGAGTGGGATCGACCTCGCCAGTTGGTTCTACAATAGCACATGAAGATTCGTCTAGTTCCTTGAGAGACTTCTCAACAAGCTCAATCATGTAGTCGTTAGCCATGGTTTGCGCGGCTATGGTGTTGTGCTCCTCTGCTGAGAGCTCCAGGCCATAGAAGGAAGGATTCTTGTGTAGCCGGCGGAAGAAGAACGTCCAGGTGAGATAGTCTAATGCATCTTGTTTCGTTGCAATAGTTCCGGCTGAAATTTCGGCGCCCAAGTGGTTATCCAGGACTTTGTGGAGCGACGATTCGACCGGAAAACCAGTGTGGAGGAAATGCTTGTAGAATTCCTTCTTCGCGTCCTGGGTGAAGATTCGCGCAATACCCGAGTCGTCAAACTGAGGGCGCCCGGCACGACCTAACATCTGCAATACGTCCGTCAAATCCATGTCCTTGTATCCTTCAGTCTTAGCGTCGAAGAACTGCGTTCCCTTGACGACAACTAGATGTGCAGGCAGATTCACTCCCCAAGCGAGTGTACTGGTAGCAATAAGGATCTGGATCTTGTTATTTGCAAAAAGTTCTTCAGATAACGATCGATCAGTCTCAACTAGACCAGCATGATGGAGTCCTATTCCAAAGCTGAGGGCCTCCCGTAGTGCGCCGTCCTTGACTCGAGTGAGGTTCAAAGCGAGGTCATCTTCGGACATGTGCAGGAAACGCCTAGGGTTGTCTTCCATACCACAGAAGTTGATCAGATCACGCGCAGTCAGACGGGTTTGGCGACGCGAGGCTACGAAGACGATGACAGGCTTCTCTGGAGAGTGGGCCTTAATAGCAAGGAAAGTCGGTCGGTTCATGGACTGCATCAATGGGCAGAACCCACGTTGCTCTGGGAAGCCATCGATAAAAATCTCAAGAGGCACAGGGCGGACAGAGTGTCGGAAGTTGAAGAGACCTTCTTTGACGCCCAGCCAGTTCCCAAGATCTGATGCATTAGCGCAAGCCGTGGACATACCGAGCAAACGTATGGAGCCGTCCTTCTTTTGCGATGCAATATAGTTCATACGTGAAACGATAATCTCCAGAATAGGACCTCGATCACCACCTAAGAGATGAATCTCATCGATGATAACCAAGCTGACTTGACGAACATATCCACGAGTCTGCCAGCTACGACTAATACCGTCCCACTTCTCAGGCGTCGTGATGATGACATCTGCATCTCGGATAGTACGTGTGTCAGGAGTATTGTCACCAGTTAGTTCGACTAACTTCAGGCCCATTGGACCAGCTAGTCGCTTGCCCCAATCCTGCACTCGCTCTCGCACAAGCGCCTTCATGGGTGCGATGTAGACAACCTTGGATCCAGGCTTTTCGCGAAACGCCCACCACATGGCAAGCTCAGCGGCGACAGTTTTGCCACTACCAGTCGGTGATCCAAGCAATACATTTGCTGGAGTGTGGTACAAGCAATGAAAGATCTGTGACTGCATAGGGTTGAAGTACTGAAAGCGCTGCGCGTACACCTCTTCTAGAAGTGGGTTCTTCAAAGCAGATATTGGTAGTGGCTGTAGATCCAGTAGATCGGTATACACACTCTCTGTGTCAGGTCTAATGAGATGCTGAAACGAAATCGGATGCACAGTCTCTGCGCCCAACCAGCGGTCGGATAAAACACGCACATAGACCTGTGTAGGTAGTGGGTCAGAGAGTGGAATCGTGAAGTTGAGTTCGTGATTATCATAAAGCTTCTTGCGCGACAGGATGAAGTATTCGTGGTGGTAAATGTCGGAGGTCTCGGAGTTCTCGACCCAAATCCAGAAGGCCTCTGATGTTCCATGATGACGATCATTCCAGACGAATTCGGGCGTCAGCCAGAGATGAATCCTGAGGACGTCGCGATTCAGAGGTGCTATCTCCGACTCTATACCTAGGGTAGGGAAATTGTTCATAATCCTTGATATCACAACTCCCATTTTCTTGTTGTGTACCATGTCTCCTATCTCGCCAGGGTCCATGTCTCGCAAAGTTTCGATCGAAGGGAATCTTGCATCGAGCAGACGCAGTACAGGCTGTGGAAGGTCAAACTGATGTAATGGATGCTCGATGGACCAGCAGCGATGTTCGATAGACTGGCAAATACTGAGGAGGACTCGACACTGGTAACCCCAGCGGCGGTTGAGCGCTATCATGAACAACGCACGTGCAATCCGTGATGCATTCTGGGTAATATAGTTGGTATCGGAGACGAGTGTAAAATCTTCCAATCGTGCTCTTGATATGTAAGATTGCAGCAGATAATTCGTTTTACCATGCGATGTAGCGTAACCATCCTTTACGTCGGTGACCACGTATCCTTCTTCTTTGAGAGCCGACAGTTCCTTCTCTTCAGTCTCACGCGACTGCACTTGATCGAACTCTCCGCTCATACTAATCATAGCCAATGCATCTGCATCACTGTTGTGAGGCTGCATCATAGTGTTGAAGATCTCTATACTTGACTGCTGGACGTAGTACTGACTGGCAATACGGCCAACATCTTTCGCGCGCAGGTCTTCAGTGGTTTCGTTGAAGATAATCATCTGACTCTTTTGGAGAATCCTCGCGGCATCGATAATCAGCTTACGGCGTCTTCCAACAAGCTGTGGGTCGTCTCGATTCTCACTCCACTCTATACCATATGACAGAGGGCTCTGTTGCATCCGCACGAACAGATATGAGTATCCGAGCCAGGTCACTGCTTCCGATACGGTAGTGACCGTTCCTAGCGAGATCTCGGCGTTGAGATTGTCTATAAGCTTTGCCGAGAATCTTGATTCGATGGGCTGTTGTTCTGTCACCGCTTTCATATAGTGATCAAGTTTATCGTGTGTTGTGCAGATAAACCCAATACCAGTGTCCTGGAATTGGGGTCGCCCAGCACGACCAAAGATTTGAAGTACGTCCAGAATGCCGAGATCCGTGAATTTACCCTCCTGAGCATTGTAAACCTGGGTTCCTTTGATCAAGACAGCAGCTGCGGGAAGGTTGACGCCCCATGCCAATGTAGCTGTACAGCAAAGCACTCTCATCACGCCATCCGCAAAGAGGCGTTCGACCAAATTTCTGTCTGAGCGAGGCATACCAGCATGGTGAGTACCCATGCCTTTGTCAAGAAGCTCACGCAGATCTCGCCCCTTGGATTGCTGCATATCGCGTCGAGCAAGGTCATATCTTGGATGATCCGTTGGGTCAAATAGGTCGGTGCACTGGTCCTCAACAGCCATTTCGTGAAGTCTGCGGGCTGTTTTGAGTGTGTCCGCTCTGGAATGTACGAAGACCATGACCTGATGCCCTAACTTAAGCATCTCCACGACTTTGTCGAAAGCTACCTTTTCGATGTTCTCCCGAGACTTTCGGGTTCCCGCCTTACCTTTTGCTCCAATGAAATGCTGCTCCAACGGGACAGGACGAAAAGAAGCATCGAAATAAAATAGGCCAGCCATTTTGTTTACACGAAGGAAGTCCGCTACGTCAACATAGTTTGGGAGGGTGGCAGATAGACCAACAATACGGATCAGCGATTGTGTGCTTTCAACCTGTCGCTGAGTTCTGGCGACCAAGCTTTCCAGGACTGCGCCTCGCTCATCGTGGAGCATGTGGACCTCATCAATGATCAGTAGCCGCACTTTTTGGACAAGTTCAGTGTCTCCAGTGCTTTTTCTTGTCACCACGTCCCACTTCTCCGGTGTAGTGACGATTATTTGGGTATCCAAAATCTCGGCCTTAGTCAAGTGCATGTCACCGGTAAGTTCGCGGACTTTGATACCAAGCCATGCGAAACGCTTTCCCAGTTTTTCAGTGATTTCGGCAGCAAGAGCCTTCATTGGGGCAACGTAGATGATCTTGAAGTCTTCCGTCATGACAGTGAAATCGGTAGCTTCAGGTTGTTCAATAGGATTCGGTATAATGTTCCTAGCCACCGTGTTGAGGATGGTAAGCACAGCCGCATCCGTCTTACCTGCACCGGTGGGAGCACAAATAAGCATATTCTCACTTGTCTTATATGCGACGGGATATACGAGGCTTTGCATGCGGTTAAGTGTCTTGTAGCCTTTGAACGTCCTTTGGCAAAGACCATCGAGCTCCCGGATTTCGAGAAGTTTTCGGCCAGTGCCGACAGTACCGACGGGCACTGCTGGGATCTCGTATTCCTCACACAGATTATCATCACGGTGGACAGTTCCTGGCGGCAGAGCATACTTCTTGCCATAAGCAGAGACTTTATTACCAGCTTGATGGGTGCGATAGACGTGTGGATATTGAGGTCCGGTCCGGTCCATAGCGGGTGCCAGTAACGCATTTTTGTGGTCTCGATCTTGCTTACGCAACGCTTCTTCACGCTCTGCTCTAGTCTGCAAGCGCCCAAAAATGCCGTCTTCTTGAGCTGTAGCAGTCTTTTGGGGAGGTTGTATAACTTCCTTTCGGTGAGAGATGAGATCTGCGACGAGGTCGAGTTCGCCATAGCCCACAATGTCGGCTAGCATCATCTGCAGCTCCTCGTCTACATCCAATCAGAAGGAAGGGGACAAAAATATCAATTCTTACTTACCGTTGCTGTCACTTGCAAGGATAGCTGTGATCTGATCCTGTAGGGCAGTGGCATCCAGTCCGGAGCTGGTTCGCGCAATAGCAGTGCATTTGCGGGCCAACCATTGCTGATCATAAGCATTGCCAGCCAGCTGGCTTTTTTGGGGGAATTGTCCGAGTTGATCGCTACTATATGCTTCTTCGTACTCGTCGCTGATAATGTCCCATATATCTTCCCCGCTTGCAGTTCCAGAGAAGTCATCGTCGTCGAATTCGAGGTCATGGCCATAAGCTGGTGCCTCCTGGTCGTTGTCGTTTGGCAGATTCAGCTCTGCTATAGCACGGCGCATGGAAGCAAGCTGCTCGAGCCATTGCGTATGAGCGTCCTCTACAGCGGCCGACATGGTTGTTCGAATATATCGTTCCGTAGGGATTCAAATTTCATCCAGGATGATGGCGGCGATGTGACATGTCGAGATGCTCGGCTAACGCTTTACTAGTTTGACCTAGGCCGCTCCCTGCAGATCCCGTACGGGATGACATAAGCGGACGTGGGGGCGGCGCATGTGGATGTTGCATGGCCATGGCGCCCTGCTGTGACAGCCAGAACACTTGGAGTCGGCTGCAACTGCATCTTGCGACGCTGCAGACTCGATTTTCCCACATAGCGCAACCATGAAGATCATTTACATCGGCGTAGGCTCTCTTTCCACCGTCTCTGCATCTGGCATAAGGCTGACTTGTGCCCTTCTAGGTCTTTATGACGGAGGTGAAGGCTAAGGACGATGAGGCCGTCGAGCTGGTCAAGGAGCAGGCTCTCGACTCGTTCAACTATTTCACCCGCGGCAGTATCAGTCAGTTCGTACGTCATCTCAACCTGGACGAGACCTGGGCAGGGCCTTCATACCGCAGATTCATCCAGACCACACCATCGATCATACTGACCGGCAACTAGGCAACCTTCTGCGGAGGTCAGATCGCGAAGCGCACACGAGTAGGACAACAGCAGAGTGTTGAAGAGAAAGGTTCGTCAATAAGACTCTCGTATTACATATATTCTCGAGGAAGCTCACACGGCGTGATAGAGTACATGTTTCATGCGTACAGCCAGCAGCCGGGCATTTGCGGCATGGTCATCTCCGACGTCGAATACCCCAACCTCGTAGCCCATTCGCTCCTCAAAAAGGTCGTCGACGGCTTCCACACCAAATATCCACGCAGCGCCTATGCCAACGCCACCAAGGACAGCCCGAAGCTGTCGTACCCTGAGCTCGCCGACTACATCAAAAAGTACCAGGACCCACAGCAGGCGGACAGTATTATGAAGATTCAGAAGGAGTTGGACGAGACCAAGATTGTACTGCACAAGACTATTGAAAGTGTGCTGGAGCGTGGGGAGAAGATTGACACGTTGGTCGCGAAGAGTGATGGGCTTAGTGCTCAGAGCAAGATGTTCTATACACAGGTACCGTCTCTAAAGTACCAATCAATCTCGTTTGTACAACCTTCTGACTCGCAAAACAGGCCAAGAAGCAGAACTCGTGCTGCGTCGTCATGTAAATACCTTGCTACCTACATTCTCTCCCTTGTTCCTACTCGTACATGTGATCGCTAGTCGAGACCACCATCTAGATGTTAAATACCCAAACCCGATGATGACCACACCTTCTTTTCGTTGTACATCATAAAGCTCCTGCTCATCTCACTAAACACTAAGCTCTCAAAATATTTCGTCATCGCTATCCTCCGAGTCACTTGATATCTGCGTCGACGTCTCGTCAAGAGAATTAGATGATTCATCTTCTCGCTCCGCTTCTTCCTCAAGATTCAGCTGATGTTCAGCGATATCCTCATCGTCAATATCCCCAACCGCCCGCGCAAAAGCCTCAAGATTCGTGTCCACCAGTGTAACTATCTTCTGCCAATTGCGGAAGCCCACTTCCTCCTTGTCGTCGTCCTCATCGCACTCCCACGCAATAAATATGTCCGATGTATCCTTCAGTATCGTAATCCAGCTAGGAATCGACTCGCGCTCAATTGTGGCTAACCACGTATCGATACTCGCTAGCAGCCGGTCTTTGGACTTATCGTCGGTGAGCTCTCGGTAGGCTACATTTGGCTCATCTGGATCTTTGTCGCAGTACAGCAGCCGGCACTGGCGGACATTGAAGCGCCAATCTTGGCGCAGTGCCGTGTCTTCCCAGCCCTCTTCATCTGGACAGGCGTGCGGCGACTTGGGATCGTAGGTGTAGCAGCCACGAGCATATTTGTCGTATGATCGGTGACGTGTGTCTTCAGGTGTGCCTGGCGAGTAACTCAGTCGCTTCCTCTTTGCCTTCCACGGCGTCGGCATCGGCGTCTCAGGCGCAGACGGAGGCAAAATACTTTCTTTGCTTGACTCTCCAAGATACGTATTGGCCTGGTGGTACATGTCCACCGTCGAAGACGCTCCCTGCTCTTTCATGGCTTCGCTGATCTTGGCATCTGGGTTTGCTGCCTCCCACGCCGCCTCGAGTTGTGCGATAGATTCCAACTCCTCCATGGCGTTGACAAGGTCGACCTTACGGATTCGGAACGCTTCTTTGGCTTTGGCGTAGTCCTCACCTGTTGCGCCGTCAGGGACTTTGCGCCAGGGCCCACCTAGAGCAGTCCAGCGCGGCCACAGCTCATTGACCATTCGCACGTGTATCCTCATGATGCATTTTGGACACCATGCGGCCATGCAATTCCCATTGCCGCCATTACTGCCATTCGGCTCTGCAGTAGTCGGTGCAGAAGCTGGGTGCCCTGGATGGAGGAGGTGTTTGCAGCGCGTCGCGCGTACGGCATGGTTTGCGGGTGCTGTACTAGAAGTCGGGTTTGAGGGCGGCAGCGTTGTATCTTCTCTCTTCTCAGATGCCTCATCCTGCGCTGGATCTGACTCATGTCTGTACATCCACTGCATGTAATCTAGATATTCGTATGCGGTTGGCAAAGCAACTTCTTTAGCATCTCTGATTTCCCTACCATAGTGCTCTTGCCACCAGGACAGGTACCAAGGGAGTTCGTCGTCGGAGAATAGCGCTGACGCCCCGGGCATTGTCGCGCGGTTCGCACTGCTCATGGTGTTTTGGTGTGACTGACACTGGCTGCACTGACTGTAGTGGCAAACAAGAGAGAGCTTAGCGAAATCAGTGACCTATCCAAGCTTAGTGAAGAATTGTGCTTTACTCAGATATGTCGTTGAGGCCGATGAGTGTGGGTATTTGTTTTTAAAGTGGTAGAAATAGTCGAGCGTGTGTGTGGAGGGGAGAGAAGAGGTGTGCGCGTGTGTTGAGCTTCTTGTCTGTTTGTATATATATGCTTATCTACCTTTAGTGAAAGTGGACAACATGTGACTGTTATTTCCCATTAGTATGGGTAGGCAACTACTGCTACTGCTACCACTACTTACTGCCAGCCACCTCGCATATCTGGCATATCTATCTGAATCCTGTATTCGGTCGGTACCACAATCGTGGACTTGGTCATTGTCTGGATAGTCGATGCAAGGTAAATTGCTACTTCAAGGTATGCACGCTTGTTTAGGCCAGTCAACCACGCAGGGGAAGTTGTGCCTGTATGGCCTGTACAAGAGAGAGGCTGTTGTGGTCAAACGGTCAGAAAGTCTGCCTGCGTTTGTCGTCGGCTCAACCAATGTGACTAGTTTCACACGTCCACTCAAATACAGCTTTCATTAGGACCGAGTTAACGTTGGGATCGGTTGCGAAGGCAAGTGCGGGTTTGCAACGTGTTGGATCAATACACGAGTTGGAAGACCACTTGGGGCTTGGAGGCAGTTCCTGGGCTGAGGGTCACTTGGAGCGAGCTGATGCTGTAGTGAAGCAGGGGTGACGGCTGTATACTTTAAAGATTTTATGCTTTGTAGGTAGTCAAGCCAGCTCTTGAGCACTGCTTAGTTTAGAAAGAGCCTGACGCAGCTGAAGAAAGACGAAAGTCACTCATCCCACTCGTGTTGAACAATGCATCTTGGGTTCAAATAATATTTCGAGCGGGCATTCTAGCCTACAGAAGCTATCCAAAAGCATCGCTTCGGTAAAGGACGTTTTCGATGCACAAGACAGAAGGGCTCGAGAGCTACTAGATTGTACCCGGCCCAGACTTGCACGATGATCCACCCTCATTCAATGGGCAGAGCACTCATTTGGGTTGTTGACCAGAGACGTTGTAGGAACATTGAGCCTACCCAATCAGCCTCAACCCCCGACAGTATATTCGAATGATTCCCACGAGGGACTCTTTCACAGACCCTCAAGTATCTGATGCATGTCCCTTTCAATCGTCTTCGAAGACAATGAATTCAGTTTGCTCTTCGGCCTCGAACAGAATGCTTCCGTCATCCAGATCACTGTCTTCGAAATAGGACAAATCTGCATCTTCGTTGGACTCCACATCCTCCCAATCACTGTCATCATCGTCATCTTCGAGAAGATTTTCAGCAGCATCGTCACACGAGGCATCTACTGCTCCGGTTGCTTGGTCGTCTACGATCGATCGTTGCGCGCAGTCTGTTTGGGTGTGACTGGCGGGTTCAAATTCGTCTGGAGAGGCATGTGCCTCCTCACGGTCCTCGCTGACTGTGTACTTTCCGTGTTCATATCGAGGTGATTTTTGCCAAAAGTATGCACAAGGTCTCCCAAGCTCAAAGCTGGTTTGCTCACTAAAAGCCACGGTCTTTTTCCCATGCGTACGTGACCTGTCCGCGTCACATCCTCCTATCTCAGACCAGTAAAGCTGTAGCGCTTTCTCCGCCGTCTGCAAATCCTTTCCTTGCACGCGTGAATGCCGGAGTGACCAGTCGGCTTCCTGTTCAGCCATACGTTCGAGTCGTGAAAACTCCTGAACGGCGCATATCTTCGCATAGAGCCACGCGCTATACACGTCTTCTTGAAACTCTGATGTCATAAGCGTGCAGGTTGGTGCTCGTCCACCAGCGCTATCTAGAGCTCGTTTGAGGACTCTCAGGTATCGAATATGCATATCAATGGTACAGACAGGACATCGCAGCCATGACTGACCGACAGCTACAGGATGTAGCCTATGTTGGCATACTACTGCCACAGGTGGTTCGACTGGGGACCCTGTTGAGTCCTGAAGAAGGGGTTTGACGTGTTCAGATAAATCTTCGAAGTGATCAGAAAAATAGCCAGAATCCTGCCTCTTGAGCCATTGTTGGAAGTTTTCGTATTCCAAGGCTGAAGGGACAAGACCTTGTTGCGCGGAGCTTAGTGTGGTGCATAAGCGCTGCCATCGTTGGTAGTGCTTTAGTTCGCGTGGAGGGAAAATAATGCTGGCTGATACGCTTGGTTTGATTGGCGCAACCGTACAGTTTGCGATAGTCATTGTCGCGGGGGTTTGTTGCAACGCCTACCGGAGTTGTGCAGTGGCAGATCGTTGTATCGGAGTGCTTGGCGCTTGTTTTCTTTTGGGTGGCAGGTAATCGCTGGCCTTAGTAGATGAGGTCCAAAACTGGCCAACTTTTTCTTTGAGGACCGAGGTGGCCGGGTGAATCTTGTGCTTGTCGTAGCGATGAATATCTTTGTTTGTTTGTCTCGCGCACAGAGGCCTGTCAATGACCACTGTGCAGGAAAAGACAACGGTACGGTTATCGGACGCTCAGTCTTAGTCGCGCGTCCAAAAGGTGGAGAGGCACAGGAGTGCAAGCGTTCAAACGTGGTAGCGCACGCTGGCGCAAACGCGCAAGTTGTCGACTTCCTTGGGAATCTTGGAGAAGCAGACAGAAGCCATGATCTTTGGGCACGACCGATCCATGCCTTTCACGTGTCTGGGAAGGGGGGGAGGATATTTTTCTTCTTGCTATTGTGCTATTGTGCGCGCCAAATGCCCTCGGTGAAGGAGAGCGTAGGAGCGGAGGTGGTGGTAACAAACGGCGGCCTTGTTAGGTGAGCCGACGTTTTCTTATGAATGAAGCGGCTTTATGGCGTGTTCACTGTCTGCGCGGCTTGCTTGCGCGCTTTCAGTGTCGGGTGTGGGGGGTGGGGTTGAGTGAGTCTGAATGTGAGAGGTGAGAGGGGAAGGCGAAGGGACGAGGGGAGGGAGAACAGTGGCCGTTGCCGGATGCGGGTTAGTGCGCTGCTCATGGAAGGTTCGTGCGTCATACTCGGGCAGGCTGGGCAGGCTCGGCAATGCTGACCGCACGTGGCTTAGGTCAGCGACACTTGCCTGGACAGTCTGCCTACTGTAGGTTACCATGTATGTACTACTGTGTAGTACCATACTACGGTATAAATAAACTCCACAAGATGGGCAAAGTCTTCTCGGTCTCCTTCTTTTAGCCTCCTTGTCATCGCTGTTCGTGGTGGTGCCAAGCAACAAAGCAAAACCTCTTGCAAAGGCTAGAATCATGGGTAGAGTTTCTCATTACACAGGCCTCTTCGGAACTTTGTTTGTCCGCCCGCTCTTTCAAAACGCAAACGCTCATACATTGCCTACCTACCCTCCCGTACCGAAGCACTGCACTGTTTAGCTCCTATCTCCAATCACATGGGTGTTATCAGATGGAATTGAACAGAAGAAACCATGTCAGGTTTCAAACATCACGGGGTAAAGACCAGGGGATCGAGTGTGTTTAAAAATCAACTTGGTGCGTGTTGAGTCGCATCTTGCCTCACCTCCCTTGTCTCCACCCTTGTCTCCAAGTCACTCGCTGCTCGGTTCTTACACACAGCCCCAGACCTTGGTGCTCACTGCTGACTCTGATTGCCTGATGCAAAGCGCATTAGGCTTTCGTTACCCAATCGGACCACACAAGTGCAGCATCAACAAACCTTCGGTCCGCAATGCCCTTCATCTCCTCAATCTCGAGCGTCTACGGACGCACGGACGAGAGGATCAGCCAGGGGTCACCCATGCGGCCATCGCAGCCAGTCCTACCAACTGCCTGCTTCCTCATGCCTCCAAATGTAGACTCGCTGGAGATGCTTCATTATCTCAATTTCGGTCAGTGAACGTGGGGCGAAGTCTTTGACAATGAAGGATCAAACTTCCTTCACACAATGACTTTGAGTCTTCGAAGTCGTTCTCCATCATACTGTGTGGGCAAGAGGTATTCGGGGGTTCTCCCGGTCAGCCTGCCACCTCCTTGCCAGCAGCCGAGATTCTACATAAAGGCCATCGAAATAGCCATGTAATCTCTGGCAAAGGTTTATTCGTTCTTTCTTCCGTGGTACCTACCTATACACAACTGCTGATGATCACAGCACATGGCATCACGAGATGATTCCATGTCAATCGGTGGTAATCATACATACGAGCAGCTCGCAAGGGTCTACCTACTTCACGGACGTGAGCCCGGCTCAAGCTCGTGCGCCATTGAAGCCTGAAGAGTGAAAGTGTTGACACAATCAATTTAAAGTACCCGAATTCATCTGACATGTAGACCGCTCATACAACTTGCGCAACCGCCCTTCGTATAGTACATGTGGCTAACATTGTAATCTGAGATGCTTGTCTCAACCCCCCCGGACGGTGGTGGCTCGCAAAAACCGGTAGACTTTCTTCCTCCTCGGCTTGAAGTGTGGTCCAAAGGAACAGCCGCGACGTGTCGCCTTGGATCGTCAAACGCTATCCACACAGGTTATAACAAGACCTGCTGTAAGCTGACTAATCCGATTGGCGGAATGAAAGCTCCAGCGTTACCTACTGGCCGGTGCTATGCTGACTGATCTGTGAAAGACAGGTTGATCGGTACTCCAGGATCATGCAGGCGTGCATTGGTCAGGTCTGCGTTCCATGTATCTTCTGATGGTCCCAGGGACATGCGCTTCTGCGTCTGCTAGACGCATGGTCCTTTCTGCCGTATGGGATAGGCCCGGGGCAGAGGTATTGACACTGATCGTGCGGTTTTCTTCGGCACCTGCTCAACCTTCCTTCTTGCTCCTTTCATTCTGTCTCTCTGCCAGATATGATGGATCCCCAACATGACCACGATGATGACAGAGTCAGCCCGGTGAGCTACTCACATCGCGGCTGGAGCCCTCCTCCACGATTTCAAGAAGTACACCAACAGCCTGCGACCGGGGCATTTTCGGGAATACAGTACAGTCCGCCTTCCCCGCCAAGCGCCCATCCAACCCTTCATGAACATGCAGAGATCGGGACTGGACAACGATTGTCGCAAGAGAATGATACTCATCAGTCAGGGTACGACAACTTCCAATGGTGCTCAACTCAAAACAACCCTGCTGGTCTCGAGGTCGACGAAGCTCCTCTTCTCGAGTCTGACAGTTTCAGCAGATACTACACCGACGAAAAACTGCCCTGCGGTCCTGATCATAATGTTGTACCACCAACTCCTGATTACTCGGCACCTGAAGTTGTGCCGGGCCAGTTCCTTCCCCAATCGTTGGCTGAACGACCACTTCCGCCATCCCCAGGTGGAAGCTCCATGCCCATCTCTCCTCACCCGAGAGTGTCAGATTTCACTGAGCAGGCTGGCCACCCTAGGTCTTCATCATCTGACAAGATACCGGTACCAGAGCCAGCCAACGATCGGACGTACTGGGGTATGAAGAAGCGCAAATTCTTTATACTCGTAGCGTGTGTCTTAATCTGGGTCATCGCTCTTGCGATGGGCTTAGGCCTGGGTTTGGGCCTAGGACTCAAGGGTAGCTCATCGTATGTTACGCATCCATTCTTGTATTTGTTACAATGATTAACCATGCGATAGGGATGATGGTCCAACAGATCCAATATGCCGAAGCAATCCAGAGTTATGTATGGGTGGCGCACTCAGCGCCAAGTACATTTCACAAAGAGGTGCTTTCAACGGCAGTGGGATTGCTTTGGCTGGTGAATCATGGAACACGGGTCAACGACGTATCTTCACGCTGTACTTTCAGCACCATACTGGGGACATCAGATTCATGCAATACACGACTGACCGAAAATGGATTGGTGGAACAAAGGCTGAAACGGTTGCAGGCGATGTCAAGGACGCCTCTCCGATCTCTGCTGTCTCCTATGCCGTCAACTCGACGCAATACGTAAGCAGCTGCCTTTGTTTTCTCCTGAGGATTAAGGCTAATTCTTGCGAAGTTCCATGTCTTCTACATCGACAGGAATAATACGGTGAGACAGGTGACAAGGACCAACCAGACCGAGATATGGCAAGCCGGTCATTTGAACGAACTCAACTTGAAGGCATTCAGCGCACCAACTAGCGGTCTACAAGCCTGCTGGAAGGGTAACTACTATGGTGACTCCGACTTTTCCCGATTCCCAACAGCCTCTGGCATAACCAATCAACAGCCCTTCGACGAGCGCCTAGGCATGAATCTCTGGTTCGCAACAGACAATTCCACATTCCAGCAATACGCCTGGTACAACGGGCAAGACGTCTGGGTCCCTGTGCAAGAATGGAAAGATGTCAATGGCCACGCCGGCGTGGGCTGTTACAGCTGGGGCGAAGGCACATCCACTTACACCATGCTCGTCAACAAGGAAAACGACGTTGAATTCTGGTGGCGCGACACAAACACCACCCGCCCTGCCACAGAGGCCCATCCAATCAACAAGTGGACCAATGCCTCCAACGCCGCCATTCGCGGCGTCTATCCCGCCAGCTCCCTCGGCTTCACTACCTATTTCTACGCCCAAATGGAGGATAGGACTATCCAGGGGTTCAATGTCACGTTTGCATCCGAAAATACAACTTTTGTCCCGGACGAAACCTTTACTATTACCGATCCTGCGGGCCCTGTCAAAGGGCTGGGTGGCACCCACATGAGCGTCACGGCGTTTGCGGAGAGAGATGCGAATCGCAGGACGATTTGGGACAGCTTGTATGTATTTTACCAGGCCGAGGGAGATGACATTACAGCCTTTACAAGGCCGTTGGCTGGCGGCGAGTGGACCAAGGGGAAATTGGCGATTCCATTGGAGTAAGTGGGAGTGGAGAGCGGAAGAGCATTTAGTACAGGCGGGAGTAGGGATTATGGGTCTGACAACCAGATATCAGGAACTAGCAGGGGATTTCTTTTTTTTTCTTTTGTTTGCATAGTAAGGTGTTGGTTAGGGTGTGGGAAGGGCAAATCTTTCTTCTTCTCCCTCTGTGATTCCTGCCCGACCTTTTAATTTTCTAGAAAAAACTATTCTTACATGTGAATACAAAAAGAGTTTGACACTCTCGAGTTCAACCCGGTTATGCGGGGATTTGTATCCTTTGATACAGTCCAGTGTCAGCGTGGAACGTGATTCACCGCTGTTCTTTGAGTGTACAGCGACAGAGCATAACATCGTGTCTCAACATGACAAACACAACTTGAACCCTCGCAATCACCAATGCCCACCAACACTTCCTTGAACAGTTGAACTGACATTCTTACACCTCACACATACTACACCACCCATCCCCCCCCCGCGCAGCCCTCCACCATTCACCTCCCTCCCCAACCCAAAACACCACCAAGCGCAGCCAACCCACCCCATTCCCCCATCCACACATTCCCCCACCCCTCTACCACGTGCGTCACGCGCAACTAGAATACTACTCCGTGTGCGGCGTTATCATCAGATCCGATGGGCTAGGATGATAGGGATCAGACGAGAAGGATGAATTGAGATAAGAGATGAACCAAGAGGCGCACAACTGGCGTGAATAATAAGAGCGAGTGCGTGGCGGGTCGTGGATGTGTGGATGGTGTGGCGCGGGTTTTTTTTGGGATTGGAGAAGTAGGGGGGGGGGGGGTAAA